CCAACCGTACACAGTTTTAGTAAATTGAATCTCACCAATCTCGTGAGGGAATATAATGCGCCTCTGCCGCCAAAAATCATCATCATCATCATCATCATCATCATCATCATTGCCTGTAGCCCCGTCTGGGGCAAAGCCAAAAATCAGTCCCTTGCGAATGCCGGCAGCTACCCAGGCTAAGCTTCCCTAAGAGGTTCGCTACTCTATGATGACCTCGGTCAATGTATATTTAGTGAAATTCAAAAAACACAAGTTGGAACGTTCTGGAAGTAATGTAGCCTATGTGTGGTTTAGTAAAGTTTCAATTTACAGAACCATTCCAAACAATTTTTCCAGCGGTTAGGATTCTCTTGATCTGTTGACAGTGTTTAAAAGATAAATAGAGGATATTACACGGTGGCGAGAAGATATGAATTTTATGTTCTCGTGGCAAGAACAATATCTCACTCGTTCGCTTCGCTCACTCGTGAGANAATACGCCACTCGGGTCCCGGATGAAGTGGCGTATGGAATCTACGAGTGGTTTAGTTCCCAGTAAAACACTCTTCTCCATATAATAAGATAATTTATTACACACTATTTGAACAGAGTTGTTCAAACATTACTTATTCTCGCTATACAAACGCGACTAAATGTATGAATAACTTAAAAATACAGCATCGTAAAAAGTCACACTGGAAAAACAAACTTCAATGACGGCCAGGATCCTGTCGTCTGTGATCGATTACTTTCGTAGTGCCAGGCCAACGACAGGACAAACAAACATCACAAAGACGCTGAAGGTAACAGACGAGCCCGCGTTGCATTTATCAGTTGTACAGCATGCGACACCACAGTCGTCACTTCCGCTATCCTCGCAAGTTTTCTTAGCTGCGTCACAGTAATCTTTAGTTGTACATAACATCGTTACTGCATAGATGCTCAGTGCAGTGTTATGTGATCTCTGGCAAGTGTCCAGTGAGCAATCCTTCAGGTACTTGTCTTCATCTGCTTCCAATTTCGACTTTGAGCAAACGGTGTCTTTTTCAGACTCCTTGCCAAACTCTATGCAGTTGTAACACTTGAGGCTGTACACTTAAACAAAAGGGAAATTACCTCTCAGCCACAGCCGTCATTTTGTAATTAGACTTGCTTACATTCGACCAGTAAGCGATGGTTTTTATGCGGTCCTTTTTCAACCCTTTTAAAACACTGAATAAATCAAGTTTTATCAAAATCATTCACGAGAGATTCGAATGGCAAACTTACTCGCTTATACGGGCTAATCAGGCAAATGTAGCCTCAAAGGTATGTCCTTTTAGCGGTTGGTCAGAAATAGAATAATATAGATTTTGGTCATTTTGGTGTCAAATAGGGTATGGTTTTCACTTTAGTCTTGAATAGGGTGTGTTTTGAATTCCGCATCATAAGCATGTACTAGCAAAACATCTGTTTAGTTGAATCACAAATGTGCCTATTGTGTTATGCTTCGTTCTTCACAAAGTACGTTTTGACACATGTAAACGAGCTTGTCTCAAGTGGCCCTGCATTTTGTCTTGCTCTGTAGTTTTCAATCTTGGTATGTGATCTCATTGCCGCGCGTGATTTTTTCAGATGTAAACTTAATTACAAGAAACAACAACGATGAATGACCACTCGTCGATCCCGGCAGATTCGTTAACAAATAGTGACTAACATGATATGCATAATTTCAAGCGAAGTCAGGTTCCGTCCACGCACTACGCCAGAGAAAATTTGAAAACAGAGCTTTCACTCTGAGGGTGCATCAAATGTTTTCCGTCCACACTACGCCGGAGGAGTTTAAAAATGTAATAATCACTGGTCATTTTTGAATTTGTGTTGGAAAAGCTCCGTTTTCAAAATGTTTTCCGACCACACGAAAACGAAAAGGCGGCGTTTTCAAATTCGAAAAGTTCCGTTTTGGTGACGGATTAGTGCGGACAGTATAGGCCTAAACGTAAAAATAAAGAGGCGTTTTCAATTTTCTCCTTAGTGAATTGAAAAGACAATGGATCTCAGCGAAGTTAACCCTTGCTTACAACTACTGCAAAGTGATTGGCTCACCGACCCTTTTAATTAGGAGGCGATTGTTCCAGGAACGATAGTGGCATCCATTATGGATTTTAATTAACCAAGTAACTAGGTCAAAATAGTTTTCCAGGTTCAACTTGAAAATTTGCCTCCTTGCCAAACTGGTTAAACAGATATTGCGATCGTCATTCATACAAAATCCTACCGAGGAATCTCACCTTTTGATCGTTGCTTGTATGACAGTAAATTAAGTTATTTACCTGAACGACTTGTTTCAGCCTTTGTTTACGGGTTTCACAACAACATGTACATATAGGGCTTTTCATGATCAGTGTATTGAATCTGAGAAGCGTTCAAAACTGCTTTGATTTCTAATTCTCATTGTTAGTCGCTTTCAACGTTCAAGGTACTCGAGTTAAACCAGGGTATGCCTAAAATGCACTGTATCCGGGTCTAAATTCGAATTTTCACATTTTGACTTCGATGGACGCAGGTTTTAGTACTTGTAAACAAACAAGCAGACTGTACAATCTAACAACATCTACAATGTACTGTTCGTTTTTTGTTGCCATCCAAACATGGCAGCGAGATCCAACGAAGCAACTGGTCACGATTTTGAAACCTATTATAGAACATCTATCATGTCGTGAAACTTTTTAGCTTACATGTTTCCCCTAAGAACAAACTTCCCATGTTAAAAAGCTCAAGAGGCGAAATAAATCCTGTTTTTAGTAGGCATATTCCGTACAGTCATGACTGCCTGGTAATTATGTTAAGTTCCCTGGGCCAGCACAAATATTTGCCTTTGTTGTTAAACCAAGGTCGAGAGTTACATGAAACAAAAACATGAACTTACCAGCTGCAATCAACGCGCAGAAAACAGAAAAACTCAATACAAATCGCTTCATTTTTGAATATCTTTTAAATTCGTCTTGTTATGGCACCAGCACTACCACAACCTGGAATCCGTCACCTTATTGAAAAAGGCGTTTATGTTGCCGTGCACAACCAATAAGAATCTAGCTACTAATAAGCTAGCCATTCAGTACACTCAGCACCGTAAAATTAAATGGTCACCATGGAGCTATTAAACACAGCCTGAAGTAAACATAACGCAAATAATGATTGTGAATGTACACCCTTTCAAATTCTTTGGTATAATAGGAATTTGCTTTTTTGTCCCTGCTTTAGTTTTGATTTGAACCAAGAAATAAAGCCGAAAAACCTTGTAAGGCTGTTGACAGAATTAGCATTGGCGAAATGAGCTTACTGAGATTTCTGGCCATTACAATAAAATTTACATTTTGGCAATTGAGGTCTTTTTTAAGCCTCTTGAACGCTTTAGACTTTTCGAGTTCAATTTTGCTCCTGGGGGGAAGTGACGGACCATTTTGTAGCTACACTAATTAATGTAGTGCTTTGTCCTTGTAGTTAATCTTAATCTTAATACTGCTTCATTTATCACCTTTTACTTTTCTGCGACATCATAATTTTAGCCCCAAATTATGGTGGCTTAAATTTAATAAGAACGTTATTGAAGTACGCCAACTAGCTTATCTCAGTCGCTTAGCGACCTGAAAGAATCGTCGTGAAAACACAGCTTCGGTTTGGCCAACACTATGAAACAAAAGGAAACCTATTTTAATTAATTAGTAATGGTATTGTAAGTTTTATAAGCAAAAAAGATCTTACTTTAACACTTAGGTTAGCGCCTTGATGAATTATTTGGTCTCTAGTCAAGACTGTGTTGTTTAAAAATTAGGTCACGAGCCAAGTGACCCATAAGGCCGGAGCTTATCCCGGTTTCTGCAGTATGAAGCGACTAGGAATATTTCTTCTCCCACCTAGATGGGATGCCATCCATCGCAGGGTTACCCCTAGCATTAAGTTCGCTGGTACTCATTTATACACCTGGATGGACTCAGAGGCACTGTGAGAGTTAAGTGTTTTGCCCAAGAACACAACACAAGGTCCCCGGCCAGGGCTCGAACCCGGACCGCTCGATCCGGAGACGAGCGCACTAACCATGAGACCACTGCGAACGGTTTTACGGTGAGTTTACTTTTGTTTACACGCGTACGCATGGCAACTGACCGAACATTCAAAACAATATCGATTCAAAACGACTACCAAACAGTGACATTCCGGAAAAATTGCAATGCGAAAACCCTGGTGATGACTGCCCATGAAAGGTTGACATGGAATCACGAAGAAAACAACCTTATTACAGTCTGACTTTTGTGTCCAATAAACTGTTTCACTTTGTATGCCGAGTTCATTGAAAGGAAGAGGATTAGAAGCTTTGCAATCAACATTCAGTACTGTGAAACTTTGTTATACTCGCGAAACCATGAAGGCTTTATAACCAAATCAGCAAAAAGATCAAAAACAGGCTATGATGTACATGCACGCTGGTGATGTAAATAAAATGGCGCTCAAATTGACTTGAAATAAATAGATCAAAGATAAATAATTTTATTTAAGTGTCAAATGTATTTAGTACTGTTGCGCTAATTGAGGTCACTGTAAATATATATACAAATATTTCAAATAGAACATAAACTATAAAGAATCCAAACTGGTGGGAGGCTGACCGGTTGACTATTTGCACAGCGCGATCGAAGAGTTCAGTACCGAGAACAAATCCAGTTAGCGGTAGGGTCGAGGACTTGAACCAAGGCCCTGCAGATTTCAAGGCCAGTGCCCAAACGCCGCCTCCACAAAGCAATCCAACATTTGAGTTCAACGAATGTAGGTAAATGTTTGAACTAAATGTATATTTCTAAAAACTGACTGTTGACGGCTTACTGTAAAAAAAAAAAAGCGTGCTGCTGTCTGCAGAAAATTATACTGAAATCAAACACTAAACCTCTACCTCAACTGAGATGACATAGTCCACTCTCAAAACAATTGCAAGAGCTCGAGAGGCAAATATTACATTTATTGGGGAGTTGGATGAAAAAAATGTAACCAAGAATCCAAGAACGATTATAAAAACTATTAAATAGCAACTCATTTTACTTTAAAAAAGCGTGGTTACACACACTTTTTATCTTATGAAATGCCGAGGTGACAAGTCTATGTAAAAAAGGATAGGGACACTACGTTGTAAAAGACTGGAAATGTTCTTTTAGTTCTCCTCCTACTTGTTAAATTTGTATCTTGATAATCAAAAGAATTAATGAGAAAATGGTTAATAAATCATTCATTTCGATAGCCCTTGCCAAGATCTTCTTTTTCCACCTAATCCTAGTTCGGGAAAAAGGCCTTTGTGTCTATTAGGCACCGCCCTTTAAAAGCAACAGACTTCGTGTGTTGACATGATTTATGTGCGTATATAGTCACTCAGCACCAATATAGACCTGACAGTGTTTGTAAACGAACGCTATCAAGTAAGTTATACAATTAAAATTCCATATCATAAGCACTGAACCCTCTCAAATGGAGAGGCAGGTATTAACCAAATTCTTTCTAAGGGCTTTTCCCTTGAAATTTGGAAGAGGGGGAAACGTACGAGGTTGGCAGGCAATCGCTGGAACTTGAGTCATGGCAATGCTTTAGCCTCGACCACACTTGGGCGTTTTCGTATGAAAACGCATTCTTTTTGATGCGTTTTTGCCTAAGGTCTACACTAAAATGACTGAAAACGCTGATCAAAACGAGGCTCTCGAAAACTGTTTCAAAAGTGGAGCCTTTTGAAAACGCATCGTTTTGTAAACGCTCCGTCTCTAGTTTGGATAGGTGAAAACGGTGCCGAAAAAAGTGTCCGCACATACATTGTCGTTTCCATCAGCGTTTTCGAGCCTTGTAGTGCGGACGACAGGCGAAAACGTATCAAAAGATATGCGTTTTTATTCGAAAACGCAGTAGTGTGGAGAGGAGAAAACAAACCGAAAACGCTAGTTTGGGCAAAAATATTTTACTACGCTGTTTTCGTTGGGACGAAAACGGGATACTTTTACAGCCGCATTAGTGCGATCGGGCCTTAGAATTCTGCAAATGTTTAGCGATGTGAGAGTTCTTACCCGTATTCAGTAAGGTGTCCACGGGCACGTGCTGAAAAGTGTCGGGTAGTTTCACCGACATAGTTGGCATCACAGCCTGCACTAGAAAATTTATACACAACGCTTGAACGAGGAGAAGTTTAATCTATAAACAAATAAACTAATTCCAGGGTCAGCCTTCGTCGTTGCGCAGATGGTAAATTTTGTTTCTCTTATTAATTTTTCTTCGTTATGCATGAATGTAAGTTTTCGAGTTGTTATATATTTCTTGAATGCTGTCATATAATTGGATCGCTGTAAGTTCGCTGTAAGCATTTGTGTACGTTTAATAAGGATACCCAAGAGACAGTGTCTTTTCTCTTAGGATACCCTAAAACCCCAAGACAAGGGTGGCACCACTGCCATGGTCGGGGTTACACGTTCCCCTTTATTTTTCAACATGCTACTGAGTTTTGAGGAGTTTTCGTGTCCGGCCTTGGTGCACGTAGATTTGACACTTCAGTGATAGTTTGCGGATCCTTAAGGGTAACTGATCCGCTGAGATTGAATAAATGGCACGGTAGCTTGGCTGGCCAACGCTCGCAATTCAATCATGACGCGTGTCCGGATGCGTATAGTGGAGGCAAAATATGTAATTCTTGTCTACCAGAAATGCAAATTCGTGTGTTTTGATAAGCATCTTAATTGAATGCACCTGACTCAAGGAAAGCATTAAAAAAATATATTCAATCAACGGAAACCATCTGCTGAGTTCGAAGGCGTCAGTGAACGATGTGGAATAAGTTTGATCGTGAGTTTAACATCTGAAGAAACCAGAAGAAACTACTTCTACGGGAAACAGTCGCTTCTGAAGCATGAAATTCGCCTACCATTACTTTTTTGGAATGTTTTATATCGTTACATTTGGTAAGTAATGTAATGTATGGAGTCAGATTTTAATTTAAGCTGAATTTAAAACATAGTCATCGTTTGCACGCAGCATATGCAATCGCGGTTAGACATCAAAATATATTTGAATACAACGACCACGCATACACTGGATAACATGGATAAAGTGGGTTTCTTTTTCATATTTTGGGCGAAGGTCTCGTTCATCTACACGACGCAGTTTTCCTTAACAAAAAAATTACTGAACGTGCTCGGCATAAAGCTGTGATTGGCCTCCTTCGTCAGTTTCCCGGCACTCAATACGGCAGGCGCAATCAAAGTGACAGTACAGTCTGTTTTTGAATTTAAAAATAAACCAAAGTTTGGTTGAAGAAGAAAACAACTGATTTTTCTGAAACCTGGGCCCATACACGTGATACCATGCAGTCGTCCATTTTTGCCCGCGTAACGAGAAGCAGTTTCAAAAGATTTCAAATTTCAAATTTCATGCACAGCCCGTTATATAACAGGGTGCGGTTATGTTGGTTTAATTCTGCATTTTTTTTAAAAATTGTAATTTAATGGAGATTTTGAAAAAAGCTAAAGCCATCGTATAAGTAGAGACCGAACCGGCAGTCAGTTGTTCGGAGCTTTCAAAGACAAAAGCTCCAACAGAAACCACCGAAAAAATTATATTTAATATAATCATTATATGTTTTCGTTGAGTATAAGGCTCGATTTTAACTTTGAACCTTAAGATTTTTAAAAATTGTTTTGTCTAAAAAACCTGTTTTACTTGCGATTATGTACCTGGCGAAACACAGAAAACAGAATTTGCTCAACGCACGCTAGAATGTTTTTTCATCCATATTATTGTTATATAGGAAGCTTTTCCCACACCTTGCCGACATAGAAGTTTTCTGTCGACAGATGGCCCTGGTGACGATCTAATCGTTAATGGCGACAGTAGGAAATAATAGGGTCAGAACAAACGCTGCGCTGCAAACTTGTTTTAGTTTTTAGATTTCGTCTTTATTTTTCTCTGTAAATACTCTTTAACTTCAGTGCATGAGAGACCCAGAGGCCTCATGGTTATTGCGCTCAACTCCGGATTGAGCTGGTTCCAGCCCAGGCCGGGGGCATTATGTCATGAACGTTCTTGGGCAAGACAGGTGTATAAATGGATACCGGCGAATTTTCTTTTTGGTGTAAATCTGCGATGGACTAGCATCCAACCCGGGGGGAAGTTAGAAATACTCCTAGTCGCTTTACACTACAAACAACCGGAGATACACGCCGGCCTGATGGACCACTTGGGTCGTATGCAGACCCTTCTTTTACCCTTTTCAGTGAAAAAAAAAAAAAAAAAAAAAACGAATGAAAACGTAAACTAGATTCGAATACACCTACTTCTCATCGCTGCCTGCCGCTTATATAAAATCGGTGGATTCTTAGAAGATAAGTTAACTTAAGGGTTTTATTGCAAACTTGTACGAGAAAACGCCACATCAATATTGTCCTTGGACGGAATTCCGGCTAAAAAAGGCTGAATGCTCTCACAGGCGTAGTTAAATTGTAGCAGGTTAAATACATCTGGTTGGCATAGTTTGTAAATGATCTTAATTCATCTAATTACATGATTCGAGTAAATTATTAACCCGGGAAATCAATTACAGATAGCATCATACATATGAACTAGACAGATTTGATTAGTGGTCGACAGACTTTATTTATGTCGAAGATCCACATGTTGGCAGGAGTAACAAAAGAAAATGATTTACCTAATTTATCTAATCCTTTGCAAATGGATGGCTGAATAGTCGTTTGACATGCAGTTCATCAAAATGTTAGCTGTCTTTTCCTGAGCAACGTCTGACTTTATTGCAAATCGTCGAGGCAGGCTGAGATTGATAACAACATCCAATTATTCAGTAATTACGACAACCGTATCCAGTATCTAGTTTTGAACCGTTTAAATCATTAATGGGAAAAATTACTTTTTTTAAGTAAACAGTTTAATACAACTGAACTACGCACGGTACATACACTTTGCTTACACTGGGTAAGGTGGCCGAGCACAGTTTTCGCGCGCGCTTTTGCTGATGCAATCCAGCGCGCGCACAAGGATTAGAAAAAACAAATACGCCGTCAATTCAATAGAGCGATCCAGCGATCATTTTATTTACTCAACACCTGCACTATCTGAGCTATTTTTCTCTATATTTGAACGTAGTGTATCGATGGCTTTAGTCTTTTATTACAAAGATATATTAGAAAAGGTAACGATGCAAAGAACCCAGCAATTCTCAGCTTTTTCTTTGTTACCGAAAAAAGCCNATCTATCACAAAAAATCTGAATTTTGACATAGGGAATTTTTAATAATACAGAACATGCAGTGAAAACGATTTACGGCGAATTACGAAAAATAAAATCTAACGACTGGATTTTTTTAGGTAAACAAAAACCATTTCTTAAGCCTTGTTTTTAACCAGCCCCGTTGCCATGGAAACAGCACACACGTTTGCCAAAATGCGAGAATAAACCCTTCTGTGGTTAACCTTGACTCTTGCAAAAAAAGGGGGCCAAAGCATAAATAGTTTAAAAGTAATGGTGAATTAGGCATAGGCACTTGAAAACTGTGTTCGGCCGCCTTAACTAAAATTTACAATTCCCTGGCAAGGTATACTTTGACAACGTAAGCTTTGTGGAAACATGGACCGAATGTTCTCGACATTCATACCATTATTTTGGGGTTTATCAAGAGTGTTTATGAAGCCGTTGTGTGCAGGACGACGCTTTGGTACGTAAATTCCATTAATGTCTTGCGTGGCTGATTGCAGTGCAGGGAATCTCTTGGTCAGCATGGGATTCCTGCTCAAAGACTTGTGGCGATGGAATACAACGACGAACACTCAACTGCTCCAGCATCAAACAAGCGTCCAAAGAATGGCAAAATTGTATTAGAAACAAAGAGACTCAAACGAAAAACTGTGGAAACAGGCCTTGCTCAGGTAAGAAAGTAACATTGGAATACTTAAACGTACTTTTACAAGACTCTTAGCCGAAATATTGTAAAAACTGTTTGCACTTTCAGCATTCCTTTAACATTCTTTTTACATACATGTATTTTTAGTTTTTTTTTTAATTTATGTGGATTATTTTCTATATTATATTTTATTTAACATTTCACTTTTTTACGCATCCTTATCAGTCCGTTGAAGGTAGCAGCAAAGCTTGATTTCAATTGCCTCGCTTTTTATGCCCGCGTCAACGGGGGTGACTGTTAATGACTGTAGCAGGACAAATGGAAATGTATGCACGGCTCAATTCTGCGGAATAAATTGAACCAGATTTAACTTTTTTTTTCCGCAGACGCGAGCCGTCCACACATTCCCTCGATCTGTTTTATTTAACGCACCAAAACCAGTAAAACTCACAGCAGTTGACGCGCATAAAAAGCACGACAGTTAAAACCCCCGCTTTAATAAGGTTGACTGCATGAAGCTCATACATCTAAGACGGGCAAAATGCAACCCAGAAATGCTATTCTCAAACACGGGCTGGAAGTTTCCATAATCATATTTCTACTGGCACTTTCTGCTTCTCATTGTATACATTTTGCTGGGTCAGTTCTTAATATTTTTGTCTGTGTATCTAATCTGGCTGCACTTTCGATCCTAACTCAAAGATAGAGCTCATGGCACTTGCTCAAGAAGTGTCCAATACGCCTGTGTACGAAGAAGGACTGCTCATAGTCTATTGTGATTCCAAATAAGAAAGTTACTAACTTTCCCAAGTGATATTCGTGACTTTTTTCGTAACACAGAAGAACCTATTAATGTCTCAGATTTTATTTTCTTGAAGACCTAACTATTGTTTAACGATTTCACGATTGTTCCAGATTTCGCCTTGAAGTGTTACCAGTGCCAGGGGTCAGAGGCGTATTGCCAAAAAAACAAGCTCAAGCGAAATCAAACCTACGACGCCTGCAACAGATATCACAACAAGTGCATTACAAAAACGTTCGAGTTAGAGGCTGACGTGAAAGAAGTGACTAGGGGCTGTGGAAATGAGGTTGAGTGTAGAATATCGGCAGAGAGGTGCAAGAAAAAGGCGTATCCTCGTTACAGGTGTCATGTCAGCTGCTGCGAAGAGGATTACTGTAATAAGGGCGATCTGTTAGATGGACTGCTTTCTGACTCGGTAGTTCTCCTGGGCGCTGTATTATCCTTAACAATGCATTTTCATTGGACTTATTAAAAAGTGAAATTTATTTAAGAGCCGACAGGGTACAGTTTTACCACATGCGACGAGTTAAGCTTACGGCCAGTGCACTACACGAATACGCTGTCTGTCTCGTATTGTGTAAATCAAAAACCAAAGCAAATTTATATTTGTTTTCATTAATCATTTCGTTTAGTAAACAAGTCACAATCGTAAGCTCGGTGCATGCAGCATAGTTGTACAGCTTTAATCCGCCCTCAGGCAAACACCTCTCAAATCCTGCAGTAAGCTGTTTGCTGTTTAAAAGTGTCTGCCTCAATAAAGAGTGGGACGTCTGAACTAACCTGATAGTGTGTCTCTGCCGCCGTTGAACACTATCACGTCACGTGATCAGTTTACACCAATAAGAATCGGAGAAAATTTAGAGGTGAACTTCGGCCTCTTCAACTATCACCGCATAGAAATCTCTGGCTGCTTTAAATTATTCAGTCCTCCGGCTCTTTAAACCTGAGAACACACGCAAAAAAATAAATGAAGAAACAATGTGCCACATTTGAAATCTGATCGCTGGATTCAGAGTTCAGAGTGCTGGCAATTACACCATATAACTTCCCTCATTGACTTGCTCTCCGAAATAGTCAATCGTAACCTAAAAGCTACAAATTTGTCATTGCTAAAAGCGCTTTTTTTACACTGGAAAAGTCCTCATTGGATTGCATAACACGCAACGCACAAAACGACTTTCAGGAAGAGTAAGAGAACATGAGGATTGGCTAGAGTTATAGGCGCAAGTGATGTTCAGACCTCTCAGCTGAGCTGACAATGTCAGGTACAGTCGAACCTCCACACAACGGCTTCCTTGGGACAGATGGAAAATGGCTGTTGTAGAGTGGTGGCCGTTATGGAGAGGTAAAAGGTGTAATATGCCCCCTTTTTGGATGGAGGTTGCGACATTTTTGTATAAAAATACCTTTGTAGTAAATAAGTCAGTATATAAAACAATCAAAGTGTATCTATAAAAAAACAAACCAAACAGAAACAGAGACGAACCACGGGTCGTATGGATCAAGTTTGGTAACCTTTTACAACATAACGTGACACCGTTCACCAGTTGTTAAGTTACCGGGCGTTGTCAAGAAGTCATTTGGCAGTTCGATTGCACTTTTCTGGCTGTTACCGTTGTGAAGGAAGTGGCCCACGTGGCCGTTGTAGAGGGGTCGACTTTATTTCCAGAATCAGCGATTTCCTTCAGACATTAAACTCACTGTTAGTTGACGCCTTGTTTGGGGGCTAAATTCAATCAATCTAGATTGCTTACTCGTACAGGTGTCACCTTAAATTGAGCGTAAACTTGAAACGTTACTCGTCGACCTTGTCAGGTCCCAGCTCTTACCTATTTGAATTGGTACGGTGCAACAGCAGCAGAAACGTTTGCAAAAAAAAAAAAAAGCATACATATAAAAATAAGGTCCCACCGAGATTTGAACTCGGATCGCTGGATTCAAAGTCCAGAGTGCTAACCATTACACCATGGGACCACACGTGTGCTGGAGACACACTAATCCAACCTATAAGTAGAAGCCATCAGTTTCGAGAGGCTTGTAGATTCAAATATTCACTTGCTTTGGTTGATGTGTCGTCGTACAAATCAAAGATCACCTCTACTTCATGTCGGGATTTACCAGTAAGATAACAACTTTTAATTTCGAAAATATTCTGATTTCATCAGAATCCGGTTATATTTTGGACAAAGTCAAGTGTTTGAAAATTTGGCATCTGAAAAACATCTAATTAAGGTAATTCCTCTGAAATAAAAGTGACAATAGATTTTTGTTCAAACTTTGTCCACTGAATATTT